TGTGACCCTCAAACTGGATGAGTGGCTCCAACAGATCCCAGGAACAACCTCAGAGATCTCTGTCCAGAAGACTGCAGTTCTAGCTAACCCACTGAAGAGAACCCTCAAACTCACGGGCTTCTGGTGGAGGACCCAAATGTGAAATGAAACTGATCAATGAAAGAGAAGGTTGAGCTACAAGTTTTGACTATACTCCTTAAAGAATTGATCCACAATACCAGCATGTGTATGGTCATTTAGATCGGTGCCTACACCCCTACTTCAGAGTTGCGCTGCAGGCAGGGACCTCAGCGTACAGGTCAGGCGGTTCTCTCTGGCCTCTTCTCCTTTGTTCAAACTGAAACACCAGTGAGCAGCTCATCCTCCAAAGATAGTTCAGTGGAACAAATGGCCGCTTGCCTGAAACAAGGCCGGAGGCGACGACTGCGAGTCAGCCAGAAAACAAACCAGGCCGGACTGTGAACAGAGAGCGGAGGGGAGAACCACAGCCACATTGGGAAGGGTAATGAGCTCAGAGTGGAGGAAACACAGAGTGTTGCATGTTTTCACAGACGTTGCCGTCATCGGAGCTCTCTGGGGAGGAGGGACGCCTGCCTTCCCAATATTCCTCGTGTTCTCCCCCATCACCTCAATCTGTCCATCCTCAGCTCTTCTCTCTCCAGCAGATGAGCTGCAAAGGCTCAAAGAACAATTTCCATCATTCAGCTCATGAATACTGGATGGCTGACAGCAGGTCCAAGGTCAGAAAGGTTGTGGATGGAAAATGTGCAGCCCACCCATTGGAAACAGGAAGATGGAGACAAACTGGATCATTATTACCCAGTGGTGAAGCAGTGGGTTGTTGCTCATGTGTGTTTGTATGATTAGTAAAATATTTAGTGAATAAAACAACAGGTTTGACTGAAACACAGAAAGAAATCTCTGAATGCAAGTCTATAAACGACTAACATTAGGAATCAGTCCCACAGCCAGGCAGTCTTAGTAAACGTAAAATGGTTTTAGAGCTGTCAGTTTTACAGATACAGAGCTGAA